TTTTTGGTCAAAATCAAGTGCCAAGGGTCATTTTTCATCAAGATGTGTCAAATTATGAAACTTGTTCATCAAGAACCCCAAAATTGCAAATTAGGGTTTGAAATTGAAAATTTTCATAACTTTGAATTTTTCTAAGTTATGAAATTTTCTTAATTTTTCCTAACTTTGTCCCACGTTTTCACCATGATGCAAATGGATTCAAACAAAACCTCCAACATGAAAGTTATAGTCCTCCACAAAATCTACAACTTTTATTCATAAAGTTTTCTCAAAATAAGCTTATATCTCAAGTTATGATTTTTGGAACAAGGGTCCCTAAAACTTTTAACTTAGTGAAATTTTGCCCTAGTTTAGGCAGGATTTTGACCTATCTTCTTGGCCATTTTTGACATAGTTACACTTGGAGTCTCAAGTTGAATTTCAAATATGGATTATAGAGCATGTTGCAAGCTTTCCAAATTGTCCAAGAACTCCTCAAACACATTTGTGGTTAGGGAGAATCGAAGGCTTGAAGTTGGCAAAAACTCACTTTTCACCCATGGCACATTCATGTTCATACAAGTTGCATTTTCAAGCCAGCATGCCTTACACTATTTTGCAGGCCTCTAAACCACTTCACACTCCATAATTAAATGCAAATCCATCAGTCTAAGCTTTTGTTTTGATCATTTGGACATTGTACACAAAACTAAGCCCTAAGTAGAAAAAGGCAAATTTCTATTTTTGCTTAAGCATGCTTTATGTCAAACCAACTATCCTTGAGCATTGGTCCAAGATCTCTTGCAGAAAAACAAATCCACAAATTAGAGGGGCCAAGAGAAATGTATGCAAGCATATTTGATAGCCTGTACAGGCCTGGAACTTCACTTCCACTTTCTTACTTCAAAAACAAGAAACTTGTCCAAAGCTTAAGAACTTGAAAACCAGCCAATGTTAACTTACACAAACAGTTTGAACATCTTTCTCACACCCCTTTGAGCTAGAAACACGATTTCTTGAACCCCAAAACACCCCATAGCCAGAAATCACATTCCTTTGGCAAAACAAGGCAAGTTCTGCAACTTGAGTGACATAGCTCATCTGGCTCGTGCGTTTTGCCCCAAGTTGCTTCAAACACCTTCCATTCAACTCACTCAAGCTATCCCAAACCTCAAATACCAACTGTAACTCCATTTACAGTGTTCACCATTTTCATTTTGAGCTTGTGCAGGTTGAGTTTTATAGGCTGATTCAAGGACATTCAAGGCAAGCTAGCTATTGGAGAAGGTCAAGTGAAGTTCAGACAAGCTGCCAGACACCTCAAGCCTTGTTGAAAAGCACTACATTTCCCTACACAAATCCAACTGAAACAGGTTTTTCTTCACTTTCTATCTCTCTATTTAGGAACATTTAGCCTTAGGTTTATGAATAAAAAATGTAGTGTTCATTGCCATGAAGCTATACATATGCTCAGTTTTCATTTATATTAAGTGTGCTAGGAGAATTTCATCCATGAACATGCTGAAAAAACTAGGTCAGATTTTAGGGCCAGAGAAATTCTCTCTGGTCTTTGAGAGTTAGAACGAGTTGTTTATATGGTTGAAATTGTCTTGAAATTCTCTACAAGTTTGATGTTGTGTGTTTTTGCAATAGATCACGTATACATGATTTCCCAAGTTTGTACAAGCGCGCGCGTTTTTCAAATCTGGAGGTTGAAGATGAAGCTGGCTTGGGTTGGGCTTGGCCTGGCTTGCTTTTGACACCTCTCATTTTCATTTTTGCACCCTTTGGCCCATTTTCTTTTATTTTTACATTTTTGCATTTTTGTTTTCTTTTCTGATTTTGTTTATTTATTTCCAAATATAAAAAATGCTTAAAAAAATATTTTCATAATTTTTTACATTTATTTGGCATTTTATTTTAATTTTTCTAACATTGAAGGCATTTAAATACTTTTTATTTATTTATTAAGACTTGAAAAATATATATATTTTATACTTTTATTTTTGTTCTTTATTTCTATCCATACTAAAAAACATTTTCCTAAATATATTTTATTTTTGAACATATTTTTATTTTATTGTACATATTTAATTTGATTAATATACATATATAAATATATATTTTTTTTATTAAATACTCTAAAATAAAAAATACAAAAATATCACATTTTTACTTTTATTATTATTCATACTAAAAAATATCTTTTTTAAGTATATTTTATTTTTGTACATATTAATATATTTTATTGTATATAAATAATATAATATGTTTATTTTCTTAAAGAAATTAGGGTTTTACCCTTAAAACAAATAAAATTAATCCTTTTTATTTACTTCTTTATATTTTTTTTACTTTTACATACATAGATGAACAAAAACCTTTTTGCATAATACATGTTATTTGATATTTATTTTGATTATTTAAATATTGTCCATTCAAATATCTATGCATTGTGATTCAATTTGGATGTAATAGTAAATTAGGGTTTATATTTCTTGTCAAATATCTCCCATTCAAAGTTGTACCCCCATCCCCATAATCATGTTGTAATTGCTTAGAATTTTAATTCTCGCACTTTACGCTTTCAATTATGCCATGATTAGAGAATTAGGGTTTGTATGCAAAAATCTAAATCAACAAATAGCTTGACCTAATCAAAGACAAATATGCATGAAAATCAAAACACAATGCACACTTTCACCCCTAGGGTTACAATCCACTTGTTACCTTCAAAAATGGGTCATGATATGCATGTTGGGTACTTTGGCAAAACAAAAACAAAACAAAAGATCATAGTCCCTCGATGATGCTATCTTGGTTGCCTAAACAAAAATGATCAAGTCCCTCAAAAATTGCCAAAGATACTTGGCACAATTGCTATCATGGTCTATACGATGACCCGTGCCTATCCCGTTTAACATCCTAACACAAGGTTGTTCACCAAATGCAATGGTGAAACAACACTGTCAAAAGGGTTAAAAACATTAGGAAAGATCTTTGAGTAAAATAGGGTAGATAGCTCTTAGTTGCTTGATCAAAAAGCTTGCAAAACATCCTTTCTATTTTCAAACACACTTCACAACACAATTTCAAAATATTATCTAAATCAAACTTTCAAACATTGAAAACTTTTCAAAAGACAAAAAACACCTTTGCATACATTCAAACAAGAATCATTACAAAGGTTGCCACAATGATGACCTCTTTTCAAAACATCTTTCAAAACCACACACAAAGCACCATTTCAAACAATTGGAAAAGCAAAGCAAGTGATCTAAACAAGTAACTAAGAGACCATGGATAACCATGGATGAAAAGGGTGCTTGCACCTTCCCTTTTCATAATCTACTCCCCGAACCCAAGAAAACATCTCAAAGGTCTTTCCTGTGCTTTTTGACCTTTCTTTAGGATAAAATAAAAAGTCGGTGACGACTCTTGCTAAACCGAAACATTTGCGAACACAAACGCAAAACCTCAAGTCAGTTCTCCCACTGTATCACAATAAGTATACAACAAAAGGATAACATCTCCATTGAAAGTCCCTTGACTAACCAATGAGACAACAAGAAATCGAGAACACAGCTAAACACAAATAATATGCAGACCCGTATCCATGTACGAAGAATCCATAAGTAAGTTCTACTTGTCTACCTAGGCCATACAATCACACCCTCGATGAGTATCCAAGTGCTTAGCATTAAGAGACTTCCACATGCAAACCACCAGATGAATTAGATACATCCTAAGTGGAATTTCATCTGTGACGAGTTACAGAAATGACATTATCTATGTGGCATCACGACCCCGTCAATCATCAATACGCATGTGTGTTAGCGTCTAGTGCAAAGACGCCATCTTGACTGCACAAATCCACAAGACGAAAACCTAGTAATATTGCCTACTTTACACCACCAGAGGTGAGTTACCCGAGTGATGTAGCCTACATGACATCACAATCTCACCATACCAATCATGCTAATGTGTTACCTTTAAGTGGATAAAAGCCCTTAAAGACCCCCATGAGCATATCACAATGGTAGCCCCGGTGCATACAACATACCGAGAACACATATGTGTTAATGTCAAGTGGGATTTTCCTTATAGACCCTCACAAGCACATCACAATGGTAAAGTGGTCACACATTCCAGGTCATAAGTGTCTTACCAAATAGTAGAATAGATCTACTTCAATTCAAGCATACATCACAATCACAATACACATTAAGCCACACAGGCAAACATCTTCAAACAGTCAACTGAAATAGACGGGAAAATAATAATTAATTACAACATAATATTTTAACATAATGCATTTATTAATCATAATTATCCATGAGATTAACACATAAGTGATCATACATGATATTACACATTCTACAATACCATTTATAAGTCTCGGAAGACTAAGGAGGTGTCTGGTTCCCGCTACGGAACTGAACTACACTCAGAGGAAGAAACATGTAAAATTCTATCCAGAGCAGCCCACTAAGTGGGGTCCTGATGCATTTAGAAAAAATGCTGGTATCAAAAATAATTTTATCAAAAAGTACGTTTAACCAGTTTTCCAATGATACGAACCACACGTCAATTGGACACCCGAAACAAAAGTTACAAATTTTCAAAGTTTTAAAAATCTTTTAGTCCGACTCATTGGTAACCGGTTACCCACATACTGGTAATCGGTTACACCCCTTATAACCAGACTCTCTTTGCCTCTGTTATGCGTGATAATCGATTATCCTGGTACTGGTAATTGGTTACACCCTGAGAAAATCAGTTTTCTGCTATTTTAGATTACAAAATCCACTATCTTCCTAACCCAAACAATCTGAAAACTCCAATAGCATCCTAAATAATGTATCCATAATTATACAATATACAAGATCATCATAGACCATATTTTTCATCAATTAATCATGCATGCAACAACAAAATCCAAACACTGACACATCACATGCATTATCTCACTAACACATTCAACATGCAGTTTATCTCATTCCTACCCATGTATCTAACTAATGGAACTCACCTTACATTTGTGGGGAGATTTGGACAATGATAATGCTGCTCCTCAAGTTCTATCTTGGTCAAAATTCCACATCCATAATCATCAAACTTGTATGCATGCATTCACCATAAATCAACATCAGACCCTCATCTTCAAATGTGTTTATCTCCCTCATCACAAACATGTAAGAGACAAAGTTTATATGCAAAATGAAGGGAAGTTCGTGTTCTTTTAAAAAAGTCCAGAATGGCTAAAATCTAAGTTACAAGCAAAGTGTTATTACTTTTTTAATGGAGGTTATACCAAAAATGCGAAAATGGAATGAAGATGATGAACATGAGCTCTTCCTCTTCTCTCTTGCTTCCAAGCCCTTCATTCTTCCTTCTCATTCTGATTTAGAAAGATGTAGAAGGTGATAATAATTCTTCACGCCTTTGATCATTACTCTACACCAAAAATCATCAAAACCTCGTGCATGCATCAATGGAGAATGTGCTTGATATCTCTTCTTTCTCTTCCATCTTGTTTCACGTTTCCACCATTTCTCTACTTCTTCAAAATCTGAATTTGTGGAATAAATGAGTGTCATGTGCATCCAAACAAGTCCTTAAGTCACTCACTAATATGGTTAGTTACCACAATGCCCTCTAACTATATAATAATTACCAGTTTGCCATTTGGTTCAATTCTAACCAATTTCTTATGATATTTCAACTATTCTTGATGTTTAGGACATGTGGGATATTACATCTTTTAACCTAACTAGTATTTCTTCTAAATCTTTTATTGTTATACTTCTATTATTTTCTTCATGTTTTAAAAGAGTTTCTAATTGAGAAAGGATTTCTCTAATTTTTTGAATATTTATATCTTCATTAATTTCTTTATTTCTATTAATATCATCAAGTGTTTCTTGTATATTATTTATTTTATTAAGGCCATTTTTATTTTATTAAATATATAATCTGCAATTTTATTGGTATTTTCAATTAAAATAATAATATTTTTATTTATTTCGTTCATCGTATTATTTAATTCTTTATATATCACATCAATTTCTTCGGTTAATGTCATTATTTAAATTTTTCGTAGCTATTTCATCTTTTTCTAGTAGTGTATGTCTTTCAGATCATATAGATATTCAGATCCGAATGTTTGAATAAGTCTTTCGAATCATATAGGTATTCAGATATGAATGTTTGTATAAGTCTTTCGAATCATATAGGTATCTGAATCCGAATGTTTGTATACAACTGAAATAGACGATTTTTACTGACCGAATTTCGACTCTCGTTGCTAATTCCTTGATCGCAGATCTCAATGAATTTTTTTTTTATATTCATTTAATTCTTTTAACCTTACTTTATAAAAATCTAATTTATTTTTGTATTCTAAAAGGTGTTTTGTAATTCTTTCAATTTCATAATCAGCTCCTATTAGTAAATAATAATCTAGTCTATCATATAATATTTTTATTTGACCTCTTCTTCTTTTGATTAAACTATTAAATTCTATAGATCGTAATCTTTCATTAACAATACTCATTTTCTAGTTTTAAAATAAATTTTAAATTAATTAATTTGAATCTTAGTGCTCTGATACCAAAAATATGTTGATAGTGATACTCTATTATTTTTTGAAGTATTTTTATTTTTATTAATTTTAGTCATCATCTAAATAGTCCGAAATTTTATCATCTTATATTAAAGCCAAATCTATTATAAATTTATTATCATACATACTTTCAATTAATAAAATATAATCTATTATCCCTTAAATCACACTCTATTGCATATTTCATTTTCAAAAAGTATAGGTTATCTACATAATTTTTCATATTCTTTACATATTTTTGTTTTTATGTCATTTGGTAAGTTAAATTTCCAAATACTTCTTAATTTTTCATAAAAATATTTTTCTTTATTTTCAATATTATCAAAATAAATTATATCCATATTTTTTAGTTGAATAACTATTTCCCTTTCTTTTTCTTTTATATTAAATTCAGCAATATACATTTTGTTTTAAAATTATAGTCTATTATTTAAATATGTTATTAAGTCCTTTACTTGATTTGATAATTTATCAATATCACTTTCTTTAATTTTTTTTCAAGTTCTTAAAATTTAATTGGCTTTGGTATTTGATTTTTTCTCAATTCTAAATTTTTTGATTTACTCATAAAAGTTCCAAGCTCAATTATTTCATTTTCTTTAAATAGTAAATTTTTCCTACATCTTCAAAAAGACTTGGAATATCAATACTTTGATTATTTCTAAAGGTAATATTGTGATGAGAATTTGTTAGTGCATAATTGACACAATAAGTGATTTAAAATATTTTATTTTCTAGTCTCACTAAACTTCCTCTAAAAAATTTGTGTTCAAGAGTTAAAGTTTGATCTGCTAGAGCAGGACTGGCATTGGGCCTGGTTAAGAAGACTCAAGTCCAAGACCTCAAAAAAAAGAAGGCCCTCAAATTTGGGTGTGGACTTTATAAATAATAATAAACAAATGATTAGATATATTTTTTATTTTGTAATATAAATTTGTCTTGTCTTTACTGTGCAACAGTTAGTTTGTTTTGCGTGCAGATTGATGTCATGAGTTCTCGAGTCTTGAAATCTATTTTTATGCTTTTAATTAGTTATTTAATAAAATATAAAACAACTTGCCATAAGGATCATACTTACCCACTGTAACTTGAAAGATATAGACATTATCATGTAAATTAAATAAATTCTTTGTTAACAGTTGCTTTGTATTATGTATAACATTAATTTCATTAACCTTTATGATTTTATTTCTTTAATATAAGTTTTTAATAATATAATTTTTTGTAATTAAATATTTATAGATTTATTATATAACTAAATTATTTAATTATTTAATTATTTATTATTAAGTTCTTAGAATAAGAAATATCATATTATTATATAATTATTAGTGGTTTGATCCTGTTCAATAAAAAAAGATATATGTTATATTTTATTTTACAGTAATATATTTTAAAAATTGAATATTAGTGTTATGTTTAATTAATTCCATAAATATATGGATAATAAAATTAAAGGGTTAGTACCATATTCCCTTGTTTTTTATTTTTCAAGCCAAGGATTGAACCCAACTAGGACATTGCAACTTTGCTGTTTAATGTTACAAACGTATAGTAACAAAACTCATTAATTACTGTATATATATATATATATATATATATATATATATATATATATATATATATATATATATATATATATATATATATATATATATATATATATATATATATATATATATATATATATATATATATATATATATATATATATATATATATATATATATATATATATATATATATATATATATATATATATATATATATATATATATATATATATAAATTAGTATCAAGATTAAATGTTTTTATCTTTATTGGTTAATATTTAATTACCACACTTAATTATTATGATTATAAACTGAAATTCACATTTAACATGGAAATTCACATATTTTTTAAATATATACTATAGGTTTTAAAATTAATTTATTATTTAATATATTTTAAAAATTTTAATATTTGATACTGACGTGTCTGGGATTTTCATTGGCGGTTGAACCCTAGTCTCCATTTCACGCCACCTTTGTGTGTATTCCTTAAATAATTTATTTGGCTTCTGTGACAGTTTCTGTAACTGAGTTCTTGTAGGCGCCATGTCAGAGTTGTATCGATAATGCTAGACGAAAGCCTCAACTAGCTCTCTCCAGGTATGGATACGGTTGCTCTCAAGTTTCATATACCATTATAACGGCCCACCAGTCAAACTATCCTAAGAAGTGCATGAGTAGCTTCTCGTCATCAGAGTACGATGACATCCTCCTGTAGTAGGACATGACATGTGTCCTTGGATAGGAGGTACCTTTGTATTTCACAAAGTTCGGCACTTTAAACTTTGGAGGAATCTTCACTCCAGGGACTAGTTCCAAATCAGACATATCAAGGCTCACGGCACCCTGATTCTCAAAGGCTCGCATACGCTCCTCGAGCATATGCAACTTTTTGTCAGCTTCTGTTGGTTCATCAGCATTAGACATCCAGTCATGTAGTTATCCTCTTCAAGTTGTTGAACAAGAATGCGAATAGGTCTTGGCTGAACAAAAGGTTGCTCGTTGTTTTGTCGAGTGGGAGTGGGTGAAGGTTGATTATTTCCCACAGCTTGGATCAAAGGAACACCTTGATTATTACTAGCAGGATTACCAAGGTTCACAGTAGCATTACCATTTTGATTCAAACCAACATTTGCATTCAAATTCTGACCACTTGGATTATCGTTCAGAGTAGCACCACTTGGATTACCATTCAGATTGTTAATAACGACCTCTTGAGGAGTGATAACCAAAGTCTCATTCCCATTATTTGTAGTTGCAGTAGGCCTTACAATCAAATCACTCAACTCTTTCTGTTGACAGGGCCATGTTCTGGATAATCTCCACCAGTTATTCGACCTGAGTGTCCATCTTGACACCCATAACGTCTGCCTGAATCTGTTCCATCTGTCTTCTAGAAATACTTCGAGTGTTGTATCAGTGAGAATTTGCAGTAGCAATCTTCGGAAAAGAAATCCCAAATCAGAAGTAAGAAAACATGTTGAAACCACCTGTTATGATATGATATGAATGAATGTATGATTATGCATGAAATGTTTTTTCATCTCCAGAGTATTCAAGAGCTTTGTCAACTATTAAGAATAACAAAACAACATGATAAGAGAGATATGCAATAACTAGAAGAGATATAGTGAAAAAACTACTTTCATTCATAATAATAAATCTTTGGATCAAACAAATTCATACAAAAGAAATCCATAGTGCATCATAAAAGATAAGGATCTCATCCAACAAGACTGGTGGTGATCATACAAAATAAAGGAAAACAACAATCAAAGAGGTGGAACCCTCATCTCTGCATAATAGAAAGGTTCTCGATGTCTGAAGTATTCAGCACTCCAGTCTTTGGTTTATTTGAATAAATGCTTTGTCTTCTCATGATCATGTCCTCTGGAAAAACTTTCAATCACCACATCCTTCTTGTACATATGATTTTCCAGATATTGGCATTGTTCAATGAATCTATCGCATTCTTTTCATTCTGGAAGTAGAATGGGTACGAGTGCATTCTCTATCTCCTTTAATTAAGCTCTCAGTCTTGCATTCTCCTTCATCACTCGGGTTGTCT